ATCGAAAAATAATTGTTTACTAAATCGAACAACAATTAGGTTCATGTTAACAATAACTGTGATAACCCTGGTGACTATCAAGCAAGGAATAGAATTATTTTATTCAGCATAGTTGGAGAATAGGATAAAAATTTTATTTCCAAAAGTAAAAAATGCCATCATAATTTATAAGAAATTTGAAATTATTATTATTATCAACTTATTCTATGTTTGTTGTAAAAATATTTTCTTAATGAAAACCAATTTACAGTTGAGTAAACTATCACAGTGAAATTTACATACGTTTAAATTGATGTAATTGGATGAAAATTCATTACATGAGATCGGTGAAAAAAATAATTTTTTATGCTATCGCAAAATTATTGTTTACTAAATCGAACAATAATTAGGCCCATGTTCACAATAACAATAATAACTCTGGCGTCTATTATGCTAGGAATAGATTTTTTTTAATTAGCATGGTTTTAGAATAGAATAAAAATTTTATTTTTAAAAATGAAAAATGCCAATATGATTTAGAAGGTGTCTAATCATTCTTAACTTATTCCATGTTTGTTGTAAAAATATTTTCTTAATAAAAATTCAATTTACAGTTGAGTAAACCTTCGCAGTATTACATTTTTTTACCATTTTACATATGTTTAAATTGATGTGATTGGATGAAAATTCATTACATGAGATCGCTGAAAAAAATAAATTTTTAGCCAATCGAAAAATTATTGTTTACTAAATCGAACAATAATTAGGCCCATGTTCACAATAACAATAATAAGTCTTGCGTCTATTAGGCTAGGAATAGAATTTTTTTAATTAGCATAATTGAAGAATGGAATAAAAATTTAATTTTTGAAAATGAAAAATGCCAATATGATTTAGAAGGTGTCTAATCATTGTTAACTTATTCTATGTTTGTTGAGAAAATATTTTCTCAATGAAAACCAATTTACAGTTGAGTAAACCTTCGCAGTAAATTTAAACATGCGTTCAAACTGATCTAATTAGATAAAAATTCATTACATGAGATCGCTGAAAAAAATCATTTTTTATCCAATCGAAAAATAATTGTTTACTAAATCGAACAACAATTAGGTTCATGTTAACAATAACTGTGATAACCCTGGTGACTATCAAGCAAGGAATAGAATTATTTTAATCAGCATAGTTGGAGAATAGGATAAAAATTTTATTTCCAAAAGTAAAAAATGCCATCATAATTTATAAGAAATTTGAAATTATTATTATTATCAACTTATTCTATGTTTGTTGTAAAAATATTTTCTTAATGAAAACCAATTTACAGTTGAGTAGACTTTCGCAGTGAATTTTACATGCGTTTAAATTGATGTAATTAGATGAAAATTCATTACATGAGATCGCTGAAAAAATCAATTTTTAGCCAATCGAAAAATTATTGTTTACTAAATCGAACAACAATTAACATGTTAACAATAACTGTGATAACCCTGGTGACTATCAAGCAAGGAATAGAATTATTTTAATCAGCATAGTAGGAGAATAGGATAAAAATTTTATTTCTAAAAGTAAAAAATGCCAACATAATTGATAAGGAATTTGAAATTATTATTAACTTATTCTATGTTTGCTGTAGAAATATTTTCTAAATGAAAACCAATTTAAGGGTATGTCCAACATGTGAAATGTAAACAAACATGAAATGTAAACAAACCATGCACATTTTTTCGCAGTTCTCATTTGCGTAGAAAATAAAAATTTGTCGTTTTCTTTATGAAAATGGTAAATTAATGTATTAAAGTTGGTTACTATACTTTATTTAACTAATTATATGAAAAAATAAGTACAATTATAATAAAATGAAAAGTGCACTGAATTAGCAATTTTTTCAAGGTTTCGAAAAAAAAACCATTTGAGTATATCTGAGGCACGGACGTTGAGGGCCTAGGTGGGAGAAGAATGTTGAGCCATTGGACGGTCACATCTTGGAAAGGGTAAAATTCTGAAATTTTACCCCTTCTCTCACTTTCTCCCACCTAGGTCCTCAACGTCCGTGCCTCAGATATACTCGAATGCTTAAATTTTTCGTAACCTTGAAAAAATTCATATTTCAGTGTACTTTTTATTTCATTATAATTATACTTATTTGTTCACATAATTAGTTCAATAAAGTATAGTTACCTAGTCTAATATATAAATTTACCATTTTCACAAAGAAAACGACAAATTTTTATTTTCTACCCAAATGAGAAGTGCGAAAAAAATGAGAAAATTCCTAATTCAGTGTACTTTTCATTTTATTATAATTATACTTATTTGTTCAGAAAAGTTGTTAAAAGAAGTATAGTAACCTAATACAATATATCAATTTACCATTTTTACAAAGAAAGTTACAAATTTTTATTTTCTATTCAAATGAGAACTGCGAAAAAACTGTTCAAAATCTAAACAAATCATACCCATTTTTTCGCAGTTCTCATTTGAATAGAAAATAAAAATTTGTAACTTTCTTTGTGAAAATGGTAAATTGATATATTGTATTAGGTTACTATACTTCTTTTAACAACTTTTCTGAAGAAATAAGTATAATTATAATAAAATGAAAAGTACACTGAATTAGCAATTTTCTCATTTTTTTCGCACTTCTCATTTGGGTAGAAAATAAAAATTTGTCGTTTTCTTTGTGAAAATGGTAAATTTATATATTAGACTAGGTAACTATACTTTATTGAACTAATTATGTGAACAAATAAGTATAATTATAATGAAATGAAAAGTACAATGAAATAACAATTTTCTCAAGGTTACGAAAAATTTAAGCATTCGAGTATATCTGAGGCACGGACGTTGAGGACCTAGGTGGGAGAAAGTGAGAGAAGGGGTAAAATTGTAGAATTTTACCCTTTCCAAGATGTGACCGTCCAATGGCTCAACATTCTTCTCCCACCTAGGCGCTCAACGTCCGTGCCTCAGATATACTCAAATGGTTTTTTTTTCGAAACCTTGAAAAAATTGCTAATTCAGTGCACTTTTCATTTCATTATAATTGTACTTATTTTTTCATATAATTAGTTAAATAAAGTATAGTAACCAACTTTAATACATTAATTTACCATTTTCATAAAGAAAACGACAAATTTTTATTGTCTACGCAAATGAGAACTGCGAAAAAATGTGCATGGTTTGTTTACATTTCATGTTTGTTTACATTTCACATGTTGGACTTCCCCTTAAAGTTGAGTAAACCTTTGCAGTTTTAAATTTTTTTTACCATTTTACATGCGTTCAAACTGATGTAATTAGATGAAAATTCATTACATGAGATCGGTGAAAAAAATAATTTTTTATGCTATTGCAAAATTATTGTTTACTAAATCGAACAATAATTAGGCCCATGTTCCCAATAACAATAAAAACTCTGGCGTCTATTATGCTAGGAATAGAATTTTTTAATTAGCATGGTTTTAGAATAGAATGAAAATTTTATTTTCAAAAATGAAAAATGACAATATGACTTAGAAGGTGTCTAATCATTGTTAACTTATTCCATGTTTGTTGTAAAAATATTTTCTTAATAAAATTTAATTTACAGTTGAGTAAACCTTTGCAGTATTACATTTTTTTACCATTTTACATATACGTTTGAATTGATGTAATTAGATGAAAATTCATTACATGAGATCGCTGAAAAAAATAAATTTTTAGCCAATCGAAAAATTATTGTTTACTAAATCGAACAATAATTAGGCCCATGTTCACAATAACAATAATAACTCTGGCGTCTATTATGCTAGGAATAGAATTTTTTTAATTAGCATGGTTTTAGAATAGAATAAAAATTTTATTTTCAAAAATGAAAAATGCCAATATGATTTAGAAGGTGTCTAATCATTGTTAACTTATTCCATGTTTGTTGTAAAAATATATTCTTAATAAAATTCAATTTACAGTTGAGTAAACCTTAGCAGTTATACATTTTTTTTACCATTTTACATGCGTTTAAATTGATGTAATTAGATGAAAATTCATTACATGAGATCGCTGAAAAAAATAAATTTTTATGCAATCGCAAAATTATTATTATTTTCATTGAAAATAAAATTTAAACTAACCTCAATATGGGTATCCATAATTTTACTACTCGTTATTTCTTCCACTGTTAATTAATTAATTGATTGATAATATTAATTAATTAATTAATTGATAATATTAATTAATTAATTAATCAATCAATTGATAATATCAATAATGTTAATTAATTAATTATTCCATCAATTGATAATATTAATTAATTAATTCATAATATTAATTAATTAATTCATAATATTAATTAATTAATTAATTGATAATATTAATTGATTAATTAATCAAATAAGCAATTTACTTATTTATAAAAACATCACGTTCACTATTTCCGCGAAGAAAACTATTTCACTTTATTTTCTGCATTCCCTAAATCTCCACGCCAATGTCTATTTGTAATAATACACAAAATGTGATACTATAGACATCTCGCGGGCTTCTCAGACCTTCACTTTTATCATTTTTACAGATTTCTCATTCACCATCGAGAATGACACTAACTATAGCATATTGGGTCAAACGCCGTTTGGCGCAAACTGCCTTTGGTGCATTTTGATAGTTACCAATCTTTGCCCTTGAAAGAGAAAATTTCCAATAAAAATTTATCTTCTTTTACCAAAAAAGGCAAAAAATACAACAATTTTTATTATTAGTTATTAATTATTTAATTAAAAGGCCAATAAGTCACTAAATAATAATTTTTTATTATTCTTATTAAGAAAAAAAATCTATTATAAAATGAAAATTTACAAAATCATATTTAAAATTGTTTTTTTTTTTGTGAAATTTTCCGGTACAAAAATCATAATTTTCATTAAATTTATTAATATTACATTGAATTAAATTTTTTTTCTCCAAAATTTGAAAAATAATTATTTTTGAAAGTGACATCTACTGGTAAACACTGTCAATAAGAAGATGAGTCCAACTCATCTGTTTAGTGTTGTATTTGTTATGTATTTGTCTCTCCAGATATTATATATGTGAAAAAAGTGCAAGATAAAAATAGTTTTAAACGATATAAAATTCAGTGATAGATAATGTGTTTTCTAGATGAGATAAAGACTATAAACTTCCTTTGATATTAATAAAAAAAAAAGAAACAAAAATGAATTAATTATTAAATAAAAAAAAATACTGTTGAGAAGAATATTTTTAATATATTATTTTTTTTTTATAAATCAAGGATATCAAGTATATATATAAAACTTGTACTTCGAATGGCAATACTTAAACATTGCGCGAGTGTGTTCGCGCCTCTACATATATTTGTTTCGGGAAATATAAATACTGAATTGTATGTATTCTACAATTCATGTGTGTTGATGTACGTACAGTGAGAATCTGTCAAAAAGTGTGAGTAAAAAATTTTGTTGAAATGAAGAGTTACTGTTGGCGCAATTCAAGATTATTAGATGGAATAAAAGAGAATAAAGATAAAGTCTGGCCAGAAATACAGTCGAAAAATCAAAAACAACGCAAATATGATTCTGAGACGCGCGATCAACATCATCATCATCATCAGTCATTGGAAAATTCATTAATTGGAAATAATTCATTAGCTGATAATTTAATTGACAATATTAATTGTCATCAATTGGAAAGAAATTTAAATTATTGTGATTTTCCTGAATTGGGAAAAATTATGTCGAGACGAAAAAATGATTTTAGAAAGGATCCTGATGCAATTGTTGCTGATGATGTTATCATTACTATTAAAGAGGAAGGTGAAGATAAATTAAAAACAAGAAAATACATTAAAAGATCCGAAAGAACAAATTTATTTCGGATTAATATTCAACAAGTTTTGGAGGTGACTATTTTTTTTGTTTTTTCTATTTAAGATTTTAATTTCTAATTTTTAATGTAAATTGGAAATTTATATTTTACAAATTTTAATTTAAAAAATATTTTTTTTTGTCATTTTTTTTTGTACATTTTTCTTAAATTTGCAATATTTTTTTTGTGATTTTGTAGTTTTTATTGAATTTTTTGAAAATTGCGAATTTGTTTTTTTTTAAAATTAAGTAGTTGCGCATTATAATTTCGATATCAAATGCATGTGACGTGAGAATAATGACAATAGATAGATTATGTCATTTTGAACACAAATAGACTGGTTTTTCTTGGTCTTCTAAGATAATAGGTCATTTTTATCAAACTCTGTTGTAACATTCATTTATTATGAAATCCACTGTACTCGACACAATTACTTTCTATATCAGTGAAATTTTATTATTTTCAAGTGTTTTTCTTCGTTTTTTTATTCTTTATTTTCTTTTTTTTTAACAAACATCTTCTAAAATTAGAAAAATTTCTTCAGATGGCAAAAAAATAACTTTAAAAAATTTTCTTCGTTAAATTAAGTTAAATTTTAACCTTTTGAAATTTTCCTTGTTTTAAGGTGTCAATTTGTTTTTTTTTTTTTTTTTTATTTTATTAAGAGAATAAAATTATGCTGCATCATGAAAATTTAGTGTCGAGAATCGTGACTAATTTGACGACGAAAAGTTCCGAATGAAATCGATCAAAGAAAATAAATATGTAAATTAATTAGAAATGATCAGTACTCGTTTAGCGTGCGAGCGATAAACAACATTTTTGACAAAGACTGTTTACTTATACGTATGCGTGTGTGTGAATATAGTTTGAATTTTATTTTATTATTATATTATATCATGTGGAGTGATTTTCTTTAATTTTATTATTTAATAAACTATGTTCAGTGAAGTTGGGTGTTATATTTTAAACCTTTAATTTTCTATTATTTGGCTCATACACAAAAAGACTAAAATAAATCAAAAATATTTTATAAGACAATCAAAGTTGGTTTGTGTATTGTTCATGGTCCTTCGAGCCGGATCGCTCGCACAAAGAAAGCTATCGAGTACTCAATTTCGACAAGGCTGCTTAATCTACATCATATAGAAATCAAAAATTACTTGTATGGAAGCAGTGTATGCATAGGTCTCATCTTAAATTTCGAATGAAAAGCAGATGAGAATATTCATTGAGGAAATAACTGAAAAACTACATATACGAAAACGAGGCAGTTATTTCAAATCGACAACGCTTTGGAAAGTATAAACTATTGTATTATAAGGTGACTCATCGACTTAAAGTAAGAACGTTGTATATATTTATTATTTATCTTTATATTAATTTGTGATTATTTTCTTTGTAATGTCTGTAAACGAAGTTGATACTGCTCGACAAAGCCGTACTAATTGCAAATCAAAATTAACAAAATTTAATACATTTCTTGAAAAATGTTCAATTGACGAAAACGCGGGTACTGTCGAGGAGATTAAACTACGTTTACAAAAAATTGAGGAAGTTTGGAGCGAATTTGAGAAAGCTCAACTTACACTAGAAATATTGGCTCCGGCACCGTCGCGTGATTTAGATCGAACAGAGTTTGAAAATTATTATTTTAAATATGTGTCGAAAGCTACGAAAATGATTAAAGAACGTACTGATCACGAAACGGTTACGGAGAATGACGAATTAACACGACAACGAGTACAAATTGATCAATTACAAGCGGAATTGAATGCGCAACGCGAAGCTGAGTTGACGCATTTAAGAACTTTAGCATCTTCGCGATCAAATATTATAGAAAATGAAAATTCGCATAACGGAATACGATATCCGCTACCCAAACTTGACCTTCCTACCTTTTCTGGAGGTTATGAAGAGTGGCTAGGGTTTAAAGATTTATTTCAGGCAATCATTCATAAAGATAATAACATCCCTAAGGTACAAAAGTTTAGATATTTAAAGTCTTATTTAAGGGAAAGCGCGTCGCGAATAATTGAAAATATCGAAATTTCTGAGGCTAATTATGAAGTAGCGTGGGGGTTACTTGAGGAGAGATATAACAATAAACGAGTAATCATACAAAACCATATGACGGCTCTCCTTGAGTTAACAATACCAAACAAAGACTCAGCTTCGGGATTGAGAAATTTATTGGATACTATTTTGCGACATATTCGCGCTTTGAAAATGTTAGGTGAGCCAACAGAGAGTTGGGATACCCCCCTTGTGTGTTTTCTTGTATTAAAACTTGATAGAGAATCCAGGAAAGAGTGGGAACGGTCGGTCAAAGGTAGCGAGATGCCGAGACTAGAAAATTTGACTAACTTTCTACGCGAGCGATGTCAGATTCTTGAAGCTTTGAATCCTGAAACCAATGATAATAAAAACAAAATGACAAGTTCAATTAATAAGAATTCATTTATCGAAAAGAAAAATAATGGTAAGACGCTTTTAAATACACAGTCTAGTTTTAAATGTATATTGTGTAATCAGGATCATATGATTCATAATTGCTCAGATTTTTTAAAATTAAATATTAGTGACAGGTATCAAATAGTAAAAAAGAAAGGTCTTTGTTTTAATTGTTTGCGTGGAAATCATTTAATTAACGAATGCAAATCGAGAAATTGTAATCTTTGTCATAAACGACATCATACACTTTTACACACGCAATCAAATATGGGATCAAATCAAAATTCTAATGTCGAAATTGTAAATCATAATCAAGGAAAAAGTATGCATTTGAGTGATTCATCAAAGGTTCTCCTATCAACCGCTATAGTAAATTTAGTAGATAGTAAAGGTAATAGAATAAATTGTAGAATTCTATTAGACAGCGGCTCTCAACCGAATATCATGACAGATAAATTTGCGAAAATTTTGAATTTAAAAAGACGAAAATTGCGCTCAGCGATTGAGGTTTTAAATAGCAACGAAGTAAATAGCGGTGATTGGGTGGAGACAAAAATGGAGTCGCAAGTCTCAAATTATGCAGTTGATGTATCCTTCCTTATTCTTCCTAATATAACAGGAGAACTTCCAGCGAATCCTATAAATAAAAATCAATTAAAAATCCCTTCTTATATCAAACTTGCTGATCCTCAATTTCACCAGCCAGCAACTGTTGACGCTTTAATAGGAGCAGAACTGTTCTACGAAATCTTAGGATATAATAAAATTCCTCTTGCAGTCCCGCATACTTCTCTACTAAGTACAAAAGTGGGCTGGATAGTGATTGGGAAACTGGGGGAAATTACCAAAACACAAAAAATAACATGTAATTTAATAAGAGATGATTTATCTGTTCAGTTAGAGAAGTTTTGGAAAATCGAAGAAGGAGAACAAAAGAAGTTTTTAAGTTTGGAAGAAAAGTCGTGCGAGGAACATTTTGTAAACAATGTAACACGTGACAATAAAGGTAAATATATAGTGAGACTTCCGTTTAATGAAAATAAAAATAATTTAGGAAATTCATATGAAATAGCTCGGAAAAGATTTTTTATGCTCGAAAGAAAATTATCTAAAGACCCTAAATTAAAACAAAAATATACAAATTTTATGGAAGAATACGAACACTTGAATCATATGAAACAAATAATTGCGGATAAATCGGAAGGATATTATTTACCACACCAAGCTGTTCTGAAGATGATAGATAATATTAGTAAGTTTCGAGTAGTTTTTGACGCATCATGTCAGACAGATACTGGTTTGTCGTTAAACGACACCTTGATGACAGGGCCAACTATCCAAGATAACATAGTAGCATTAATGTTGAGATTTCGACAGCATGTGATTGCCTTGAGTGGAGATATTGAAAAAATGTATCGCCAATTTTTTATACATCCCCAAGATAGAAAATTCCAGAAAATTTTGTGGCGATATAATGAGAATGAACCTATCAGAACGTACGAACTGAACACCGTGACATATGGAACTTCTGCGGCACCATTTTTGGCAATTCGTTGTTTGAAAGAATTGGCAAATAATGAAGGTCGTGCATTTCCAATCGCTGCCGAAGTATTAAAGAATGATTTTTATGTGGATGACTGCCTCACGGGAGCCGACACTGTAAGCGAAGTACAACAAATAAAAGAAGGACTAATTGAGTTGACAACAAAAGCAGGACTTCGTATTTGCAAGTGGAGGTCAAATCATCAAGAAATTGCTCAAAATTCAGGGGATTCAGAAGTATTAACAAATGATGTGGATCAAAGTTCAAAGACACTTGGAGTGATGTGGAACTCTCAAAAGGATACATTGCATTTTAACGTGCAACCAACGTTGGATCAAAAACCCACTACAAAACGAATCATGCTTTCACAAATTGGTAAGATGCTTTATGATCCGCTAGGATTAATGGCACCAGTCACAGTTGTGGCAAAAATAAAAATGCAAGAACTTTGGAAAACTAATAATTCATGGGACGATCCAATACCAACTAAATTATTAGTGGAATTTGAGCAATTTCAAGGTCAACTTGGTGAATTGAGCAATTGGGAAATCGAGAGAGCGGTTAGAAGTCAACCATCAGACGAGACTCAAATCCATGGCTTTGCAGACGCCAGTCAGAAAGCGTACGGCGCATGCGTTTACATCAGGTGTTCGAATGAGGGAAAACATCGTACAATATTACTATGTGCGAAATCAAAGGTTGCACCATTGAAGACAGTTACATTGCCAAGATTGGAACTTTGTGCGGCAGTATTATTGTCAAAGTTAATAATCACTGTCAAAAATGCAATAAAATTTAATGTAAATGCAATACACCTTTGGTCGGATTCAACTATAGTATTGAATTGGATTGCATCTTCTCCTCATGAGTTCAGCACATTCATAGCCAACCGTATTGCCGAAATTCAAACTCTTACAAGACCTGAATGTTGGAAACACGTCATCTCACAGGATAACCCCGCAGATTTTGTATCTAGGGGTCAAATGCCTGCAGAATTTGTATCAAACAAGTTATGGAAAAATGGTCCAACGTGGTTGGAATTGTCGGAAGAAAATTGGCCCAGTCATCACTTCATTCAAACGGAATTGCCTGAAAGAAAAAAAAGCGTGGCGCTAACTATAAAGAATGTAAAAACATCAATTAATTTATGGTCTCGATTTTCATCCCTCAGAAAATTGATCCATGTAGTGGCATATTGTTTACGAATAGCAGAAAGAGCACGCGGTAAAACCAAATTTTCCGAGATATTAACACCAGCAGAGATTCAGTCAGCATTTAATCGAATTGTTTCACTGGTCCAGATGGAAGAGTTCTACAATGAAATTAATCAACTGTCAAAGAATGAATGTCTATCAAGCCGGTCAAAAATACTTCGACTTAATCCTGTAATGCACGAAAAAATTTTAAGAGTGGGGGGAAGAATAAAGAGAGCAGAATTGCCCTATGATCAACGACACCCTATGTTGCTGCCAAAAAATCATCCTGTTACAGAATTAATCATCCGCGATATTCATGAGCAAAATATGCATGCTGGCAATAATGCAACACTGTATGCATTGAGAATGAAATTTTGGCCAATCGATGGTAGGTTGGCAGTGCGCAAGGTCATAAATAAATGCGTAAAATGTTTTCGAGCTCAGCCTAAAGAAGTATCTTATCAAATGGGAAATTTGCCTGCAGTGCGCGTGACTGCCACTCGCGTTTTCGAAAATACAGGTATGGATTACTGCGGTCCATTTTATATTAAAGAAAAAAAGTACAGGAATCGAAATAAAATTAAAGTGTACGCGGCCGTATTTGTGTGTATGAGCACTAAAGCGATCCATATAGAATTGGTAAGCGACTTATCAACAGAATGTTTTTTAGCAAGTTTACGACGATTCTTCGCAAGAAGAGGAAAATCTAAAGCATTGTATTCGGATAATGGTACTAATTTTGTAGGCGCTAGAAATGAGTTGAGTGATCTTTACCGTCTCCTCAACACAGATGAACATAATAAAATTATATCTCGAAAATTGGCAGATCAGAATATTGAATGGTATTTTTCGCCCCCGCGAACTCCGCATTTTGGCGGTATCTGGGAGGCGGCGGTGAAGTCGCTCAAACATCATTTACGGCGAACAATTGGCGAAACATTGTTGACATTCGAAGAGCTTGGAACATATATGTGTGAAATCGAAGCAATTGTAAATTCACGACCTCTTACTCCGATGACTATGGACCCTAATGATGTAAGCGTATTAACTCCAGGTCATTTTTTAATAGGAGAGCCTTTGACAACGATTCCTGCTTGGGACTATACTCAAACTCCTGTAAATCGATTATCACGATGGGAATGTTTACAAAAAATGAAACGCGATTTATGGAAACGTTGGTCGCGCGAATATTTAAATGAGCTTAATGTTCGCTCAAAATGGCATTCGGGATCACCAGAAGTGATAAAAGAGGGAACTTTGGTTATTTTAAGGGATGACAATTTGCCGCCGTTAAGATGGAGTTTGGGTAGAGTATCTCAAATATATCCAGGAGATGATGGTGTGATACGTGTGGTAAAGGTAAAGACCCAAAATGGTGAATTAGATAGAGGCGTAAAAAAAATATCACCGCTTCCTATAGAGAGATAAAAAAAAAGAAAAAATGTATTTATTGAACATAATTGTTCAAAAAGGGGGCAGAATGTCGAGAATCGTGACTAATTTGACGACGAAAAGTTCCGAATGAAATCGATCAAAGAAAATAAATATGTAAATTAATTAGAAATGATCAGTACTCGTTTAGCGTGCGAGCGATAAACAACATTTTTGACAAAGACTGTTTACTTATACGTATGCGTGTGTGTGAATATAGTTTGAATTTTATTTTATTATTATATTATATCATGTGGAGTGATTTTCTTTAATTTTATTATTTAATAAACTATGTTCAGTGAAGTTGGGTGTTATATTTTAAACCTTTAATTTTCTATTATTTGGCTCATACACAAAAAGACTAAAATAAATCAAAAATATTTTATAAGACAATCAAAGTTGGTTTGTGTATTGTTCATTTAGAATGAAAATTTATTAACATTTATGTAATTAAATTTAAAATTCAGTAAAAATTGAAATTTAAAACTTCTTCCGCAATTCTTAATGTTTTTTATCGCCAATTTTTTTTTTTTTTTTTTATACTTTTTTCTCCATTCTAAAGAATCAATTTGAGAAAATTAATTTTTTCAAAAATAGAATTTCCAAAAAAAAGATTTTAAAATATAAAATAGCCAAAAAATTATTTTTCCAGGCCTCGGAATTTAAGACTTTTTTCAACTTATTTTACAAATTAAAATTAAAAATTAATTAATTTATTCAATTAAAAACAAAATATCTATGACCTTTCTTTTTAGCGGAAATTGTAACTCATGAAAAATTCAATTATTTTGAAAATTTTGAATCCACAAAGTCTTTGTGAAATTAATTATTTTCAATAATTTTAATGAAATTCTTCGATAATTGAATTATTTAAAATATTTTTCAATTAAAATTCTTTGAAATTTAATTATTATCAAAAATTCTTTTAAAAAACTTTTCAGAAAATTGAAATTTACATAATTTTCCATTTGAAATTTGATTAATTCTAAAAATCAGGACTCTCTTTTGAAATTCGTGATACATTTTGATGTTAAAATTTTTTTATTTTCTTTTGAAATTCAATTATTTTTCAAATTTCTATTTAAAATTCTTCGCCAAGTTAATTATTTTTTATAATTTTTACAAAGTTCTTCTAAAATTCAATTATTTAAAATAATTTTTTTTTAAATAATTGAAAATGATTGAATATTCAATTATTGTCTAGATTTTGGAAAAAAAAATTCAGAAATTGAATTTTACAAAAATTTCAATTTAAAATCTCTTGAAATTAAATTATTTCTGAAAGTCTTAAATATATAATTCTTCCAAAACTCAATTATTTTTATAAGTATCTAAAATTCTTTGCCAAATTACTAATTTTCAATAATAATATTATTGAAAAATTATATTATTATTATATTATTATATTATTAAAAATTATTTTAAAATTTAACTATTTAAAACATTTTTAGGTACAAATTAAATTCTCCCATTTTCTAAAAAGTATTTTATATATAAAAAATGATTAAAATTTCAAAATTTGATAAATAATTTTCATAAATCAAAATTGAAAAAATGTTCTCAAAGAAGTAACTTTCATATTTTTTTATAAATCTTAAAATTTTTGAATTTTTTTATTTGTCTCAAAGTTCAATTTTTAAATGTTATCTAAATAAAATTTCCTGACAATTTATTAGGCAATTATTTTTATTACCTAAGGAAAATTATTAAAATTTATTTTTAATATTTAAAAAACAATGGTGAATAAAAATATAATATTTATTAAATTAACTTTATTAAAATTTTAAAAAATCCACTTTTTTGGATTTTCTTCTTCTGTAAATCGAATAAATTGAAAAAAAATTGACAAATTTACAAATGATAATTTTGATTAATTGAAATTTCACTAGTAATTCTTTTAAAATTAAACTTCTTCTAAAATTTTTTAAATCTTTTTTATCGTTAATTCTTTTTAACACTTTTTTCCTCATTTTAAACAATTAATCATATGGATTTTAAGGAAATTTAATTTTTTCAAAAAAATAGAATTTCTAAAAGAAATTTACAAAAAAATGTAAAACAGCCAAAAATTATTTTTCTCTTCAATTTTTCATAATTACGTATGATTCTAAGATTCGAAAAAACGTCGAAAAAAATTGCCAACTCTCCATAATGTAAATTTTGATTAATTGAAATTTCATTATTAATTCTTTTAAAATAAAACTTCAGCAAATTTTAATATTTTTCATTGACAATTGTTTTTTTACACATTTTTCTATAATTTTTGAACAATAAATAGTATGGATTTAAAATTTTTGTTCATTTTTCCAAAAAATAAAACTTCTAAAATTGCCAAAAATATTTTTATTTTTAACTTACGATAACGTAAAACATTTTTAGAACCTAAATAATATCAGAAAAAAAATTGTTATTTGATGCTGAAGTTCATAACGTTTATTATCAACAATTTTCGAAGAACAATTTTTTGTGGATGAATATTTCTATGAATTTTCGACTCAAAAATATTTCTTGCAATGTTTATTCATCAATAAATTATTTGAAACATTTTTTTAGATACAATTTTTTTGTTGTTAAAAAAAGTTTTTAAAAACAAATTAAAACAAATGTTCTTTTTAATCGTTAATTATAAACATTGCGGACTTCAATGTTGTCTAATAACGAAAATTTCAATAGATTAAAATTTCAGTGATCCCTTACCTTAGAGAAATAATTTTTTTATTAAAAAATATTCTTTATTTTCAAAATTTAGTTTCTTAAATTAAAACAAAAAAAATTTTTTTTTTTTTGAGATATATTCTTTAAATAATTTTCCAGCTCTACTCTACAGATTTGTTCAATTTATTCTCAATTGATGTTTCAGAATCAAAGAAGCCTGAAAAATTCTCTCGCTGAAAAGAAAATAAAATGCTGTGATCGAATTGTCGAAACGAAGGGTAATAAAATTTATTTATCAAAGGCAAAAAGACCCACAAAATTAAAACAATTAATTATCAATGAACGAGAGAAGAAAAAAGAATTGCGACAACAAAATTATGAGCCATTAATTGTAATTTCTCATGAACAATTGAATATAGAAAATTTGAAAATTGTATCAGATCCTAATTTAGATCTCGATTATGGAAGAACATTATCAGGATTAAATCTTGTTGGCAATGAATATAGAGAGCCAAAAAATGATTTTCTAATTGATAAGATTGTGGAAAATCGTAAAGACATTACCCAAAGATTAGAAAATTTATTAATTAATACAAATGAAGAAACAAATGTGATTAATGATGATTTAAGAAATGATATTTCAAATATAGAAATCAATGAAATTAATACTCAAAATATTATTGTAAATGATGTTAATAGAGTTCTCATTTTAAATAATGAAGAAATTTTTCAAAATCCTGCCTTTCTAACTTTTAGGGATAATACAAAAAATCTTCGATATTCTAAAAAATTTAGAGAGTGAGTAAGTGTTACTTTTAATTATTTATTTTGTAATCGACAACAATTTCTTTTTTAAAAACAAACTTTTTTTTAAATTTACTTTTTTCTTCTAAAATTATATTTTTTGATGCCAAACTATTCACTTGGTTTATTTTTATAAAAAAAATTAAATTATAATCATTGAAAATTACTATTAAAATTCATATTATTTAAAATGTTAATAAATTAATTGCAAATTTACGATAATATAATTTTTTTTTTCTATGAAATGTGAAGCTCGGTTGAAAATCTCCGTTTATTGTACTTTTACTAGTTAGAGAACAAACGTAATTTATTTATTTTCACAAATTTTTCCATTAATCGTGTTTTTTTTCTTTTACTCTTACTGATTTTGTTTAATATATTTATACACTGAAAAAAAAATTATTTGATTCAATAAATCAGTAATTTGACTATTATCAAATAAATATTTTCTTGAAACAAATAATTTTTATTTGAGTCAATTAAATTTTATTTATTTCAAATACAGAAATTATTCATTTAAATACCAGTTTATTTGATACAAAAAAATATTTATTTGATAATAATCAAGTAACCGATTATTTGAAATATTTTTTTTTTTTGAATTATTTTCAAATTTTGAAATAAATAATCTAATTAATTTTTTTTTCCTTTCTGAAAAGGGGAAACACACAATATTGCTGAAACGTTAAAAGAATTTGTTTTTTTAATTTTACTTCTGATATTATTTGAAGAGATTGATATATTATTTTCATTCTTTAAATAAACAATCTTAATTCAATTGAAAATATCTTAATTGTTTGTGAAATTATTTATTTTCTGTAGATACTGCACTAATATGATTTCATCATCTTTGAATAAGAAATTAGAAATTTTTATTTCTGAATTATTTAGGCTGCAAAAAAAATTGTATGAAAGAAATAATATTAAAGGCAAATATAAACGAAGATTTTACACAGGATTTAATGAAGTTGAGAAGCATATTAATTTGAAAAAAATTAAATTTGTAATCATTGTACCTGATCTTGAAAAGGTGGAAATTGAGGGTAAATTAATTTTATAATAATATCCAATATAAAAGAATCATATATTATTATTTTTTTTTTTAATTCTAAAATTTAAATTTAAAAAATTTAATTCCTAGTACTAATTGAGACTAGCTTTCATGCTTTTTTTCAATTTTTTTTTTGGCAAGTCCAATACGAGATATGAATTTTTCAAAATTTTAGAATTTTAATGATTTTTTTATTTTTGAATGCTTTTTTATTTAATTGTGTGCTTTTACGTGAAGTTTTCGAAAATTAGGTGCAAAAAATTCTAGAAAAATAATTTATTATATTTTTTGGAATTTAAAAATTAAAATTTTATTTTTCAAAAACTGTTCGTATCCTTCAATTTTTTTTTGCAAAATTTTCAAAAAAGCGTCTATTACAAAAATTTTTAATTTTGAAAAATTCGTATCTCGTAAACGGCTTGGTAAAAAAAATTGAAGAAATGAAAGCTAGAAAAAAAAGGTTCTAAAAAATTGGAAATGTAAATGCAAAATGGTGTCTGATTTGGCGTAGAATATCTCATATATAATAATAATAATAATTAAAAAATTAATAATAATAAAAGTAATACGTCAATAATTGTTAAATAAATTAATATTTTAAATTCCAGGAGGTTTAGACGATATTGTAAATAAATTAATTGGATCATGTAGAAAACAAAGCATTCCAATATGTTTCGGTCTTTCTAGAAGAAAATTAGGATATTTAACACATAGAAAGGGAATGGTTAGTTGTATTGGCGTCTCCAATTTTAGTAGTATTGAGGTAAATAATAATTATAATTTTATTAATAATAATAATAATAGAATAATATAATATATTTAATAATAATTAATATAATAAAAAATATTAGGGGCATTCTTTTTCAAAACCATCATCTTCGTAAACACTCACAGTTTTGTCTCTGAAATTGAAAACTTCTAATTTATTTTTATTAAACAGGAGAAATTATTAATATAAAATATTAAATAAAATAGAATGCTCCAATAATAAAATAAATACGTATTTCTTAATTTTTAGATAAGTGCTTTTTCCGAGTTATGAATTTTTAAAAATCTATGTTTTTTAAATTTTTTTTACTTTTTTATTTTTACATACCTGGAAGTACTAAGAATATTTTGCAAAAAGTTTTAGATTGTGCCTGATAAACCATTTTGTTTAAATAATTTATTTAAAAAAAAATATTTTCGTTTATTTTTTATTTTTCAAACTGAAAAATTTTTTTGGCCACTAGGATCTTTCACTTTACTCATAGAAAAGCAAACTAAAATGTATTTTATTTTGAAAAATAAAAAAAAAAAGGAAAAAGAAATTTTTTAAAGGAAATTATTTAAACAAAAAAGGATCATTCGGCCATTTCTAAAACTTTTTGCAAAATATTCTTAGTATTTTCAGTTATTTAAAAATAAAGAAAAGAAAAGAAAATCGTGCCCAAAGTAAAAGAAATTAATCTGTTTATTAAAAAAATAGTTTTTTTTTATTAAAAAATTTCAAAAGTCGATGAAAAACTAAAGCTTTTTTTTTCTCTTAGCAAAAACCCAGATTTTTAAAATTTCATAACTTCAAAATTTAGGCACTTATAAAAAAAAAATAAAAAAATACGGATACCACTTTTTTCTGCAAGGAACAAAAAAAAATGTATATTCGAATTTAAAATATGAGGTAAATTCTATGTTTAAAAACAAAAGAAGAAAAATATTCACAAATATATATAAATATTTAAGTAAACTTTACAATATAATTTTATTTTTTATTTTTAAAAGGAAAAACTTGAAATAGTTTTGAACAGTTTGGTGGAGGCAATAAATGAATTTCGAACATTAATAGGCGAATTGAATAAATTGATAGACGTCAAAAAAATAATGGATGACGATCTCCTACTTTCTGAGCGGATAAAAATTCTTTTAAAAATTCTAACACCAACAACATAAAAATATTAAAAAACAATTCTCGCTTTTTTTTGTAATGAAACTATATGTACTATAAGCAGCAAAACCGTCCAAGTAAGAATGTAATTTTTTACATTAAAAATTTTTATATATATCATAAATAATTGGTTTTAATTTTCACCTTACGCTTGTGTATTTCAATGAAAAACATATTTTAACAACATTGTGAAACATTTAATTCAATAAATTTGTATAAATATTGATGTACATAATATTTTTTTTTTTGTAAAAGTTTAAAAATTGATGGACCGAATTCTAAAAAAAGTTTTTGCTATACAAAGTATTAATAAATAGATTGAGTTTTAATTTTTAAAGTGTTACTAAAAAAAAAAAAAAAAAAAAAAAAAAATTAAAACTATAAATTGAAACACATAAAATTTTTAGAATCTGCTAATATTATCAGAATTCGGTCGATCAATTTCTGAATTTCAGGTACTGTAAAAATTATTTAACATTTCGATGTGTCGAGAAAGCAACATTTAAAAATTATAAACATACCTTAGCTTAGTTTCTATTTACACATAATAATAAATAAAAAAAAATTTGTGACATTTATTCTAAACGTATATGATTTTTAAATATTTACTGACATTAAAAAAAAAGAAGAAGAAGAAAAGAAACGAAAACAATTGCCCTATCGTTTTACACTTTCCAATTCGACTGGATTTTCGGCAGTTGTATTTTCGTGACTAACTGGGATAATACTATCGTTGTCTGTATTGTATTTTAAATCAACTATTACAAATGAAATAGTTCCAAGTATTCCTACCACAATTAAAATACCTAAATGTAAATAGAGTCCAAAGTAATTACTGTAAAAAAAGCTCAACGTCACCGCTATTGATTGAAAGAGAAGATATAGAGAAAATACATATTCTGTGTCATTCGTATAAATTGTGCCAAGAAGAGCAATAATTTGTGTATTTAAAAAAGCATCACCAAATCCCATAGCGACAGCACCAATCATTGCTAATGATATTGAAGGCGATATAAAACCAATGTCCTCAGTATCCTAAAAAGTAATTAATTACTATTTTAATTAATGCATCAATGTATAGAAATTTTACATATAATGTCAATCGCGGGGTTATTATGGTACAAAAATCGTAATTTTTTTTTGTTCTATGCTTAAATAAAATTCTAAATTTATCGAAAAATATTTTTAAGTATTTAATTGTGTTGTGAACATTCTTATAAAGATTTTCTCTAAGATTTATTAAAAAACAATTTTTTTTTATCTGAATTATGTAAACTTAAAGTTTGTACCACAATAGCCCCGCGATTGGGGTTAATAAGGTACAAAAATTTGTTTTTGTTTATAAAATAAAGGAAAATTTTTTTTCTTCAAATTAAACGGTATGGAAATTTAATTACAATGTAAATAATTTTTAAAACGTTGCTGAAAAATTATTATTATTGTATAGGAATCAGGGAGTATAGTATAAGAGACCGAACGGCCATTAAGGACAGGTCAAAGTCGAAGCAATTTTTACATAGAATTTCAATGGAAAAATCGCATCGACTTTGACCTGCCCTTAAGAATCCGCGTCAAAAGTGGCCGCACTTTTGCTGATCGTAATTTTAAGGGCGCACTCACACCTTCTGGCTGCCTGCCTGCCTGCAGGAGTTGTCATGGCAACGTGCAGGATTAAGAGAGAGAGAGAAAATTCAAATTTGAATTTACTATCTCTGTTACTCCTACACGTTGCCATGACAACTCCTGCAGGCAGGCAGGCAGGCAGCTGAGAGGTGAGAATGTAGGAGGAATGTATTTTTGGGTTATGTTCAACGTACTTCTAATTTTTCCCCACTGTTTACATACTTCCCACGAGAGCTCTTGTGTTCCATTACGTATTTTCATGACACTAAGCGGTTACCAAAATTTGGTCCACTTTCAATGAGTGACTATACACCGCAGTGAGAAGAGAAACATTGTCATCCGAAAGTAAGAAACTTTTCTCATCTATGAGTGAGTGAAATCAAGATTGCCAACCTAGAAGACGTGTTGGTAAGGTAGGTATTGAATTTTTTCTTAAGAAACTATTCAATACCTACCTTACCAACACGTCTTCTAGGTTGGCAATCTTGATTTCACTCACTCATCGATGAGAAAAGGTTCTCACTTTCGCATGACAATGTTTCTCTTCTCATTGCGGTGTATAGTCCCTCAATGTACGTCGTTGGGTCTCCTTATGGCCAGGTCCAAGTGAGGCAGCGCCATCTACATTGATACTAAAATTTTGGAAAATTTTTAACAGCCTTTTCTTGAAAACAAGATGGTAAAATGCTTTTCCCTTTATGGATAATTGATTATTGGCAAGATATACACCAGCTAAAACTTTTTTTGAGTTAAAATAATAAAAAAAATTTCATGTCAATAAATTAAATATGAGCACTTTTTTCACAAAAACTGTAACAGTACTTTCTCAGAAATGACAATCAAAAATGCAATTTCTATTTGGAAAATTAATAAACGCTAAAAAATACACGACCTAAGATTTACCAATCACGAAAATAACAAAAAACAATTTTATTAAATATTTAACATATTGATACTGCTTTACTGATTGTCACAGCCCTTTGGTAGATTATGTATTTCAGGTGGTTAGCAACAGCGCCAATCTCCTCCTTTCGGCAAAACTGCGAAACGTCTGGTGACATATATATAACCTGCCAAACGGCTGTCATAATGAGTAAACTATGTTATGTTAAAATACTTTTTTTTTTGTTATTTTCGTGATTGGTAAATCTTAGGTGGTGTATTTTTTAGCGTTTATTAATTTTCCAAATGGAAATTGCATTTTTGATTGTAATTTCTGAGAAAGTACTGTTACAGTTTTTGTGAAAAAAGTGCTCATATTTAATTTATTGACATGAAATTTTTTTTATTATTTTAACACAAAAAAAGTTTTAGCTGGTGTATATCCCTTTCAGGGGCAGTGGGACGTATACGTCCCACCTTTTTTGTTGTTGTATTTTTGGTATTTCCGGCATATTTATCTAATAATAATCATATATTTCTTATTTTTAGATTCTAAGGATATAATATAACGAATCTATAATATTGTTTATGAATAATTTATTATTGTTAACTTAATATTATTCCATCAATCTGAAAAATATGCATTTTTTTAATAATTAATTCAGCTATTTGTAAACGCGAAGTGCTACGACTTTGAAAATCTTTACTCGGGGGTTTTTGGGGTCCCTGATTACGAATCTGAGGTCAGTTTTTCAAAATTCAAAATGGCGGATCCAATATGGCGGACGACTTTTTAAAAATATAATGCAATTTGTATGAAACTCGTTACTCGGGGGTTTTCGGGGTTGCTGATTACGAATCAGATGTCAGTTTTTTAAAATTCAAAATGGCGGATCCAATATGGCGAATATATTGAATTTAAAAAAAAAATGTCCGCCATATTGGATTCGCCATTTTGAATTTTTAAAATTTGCAAAATCTGACCTCGGATTTGTATTCAGCGACCCAAAAAACGTATAAATACGTAATGAAACAAAAATTTGTATGCTTAGAATAATGTGCCCCTGAAAGGGATATCTTGCCAATAATCAATTATCCATAAAGGAAAAAGCATTTTACCTTCTTGTTTTCAAGAAAAGGCTGTTGAAAATTTTCCAAAATTTTAGTTTCAATGTAGATGGAGCTGCCTCACTTGGACCTGGCCTTAACATAACATTATTTAAAAAAAACTTTTATTAAAGAAAATTTCCATTCGACTAAATTTGTATTTGACAGAATTATTATTTGCTAAAATTTTCATTAGATAAAATAGTTATTTAAAAGAATTTATTTTACAAAAAGAATATTAAAAAAGAATTATTTTCTAGACGAATTTACAATTTACAAAATATTTTTAAAACGATGAATTTTTATTTTACAGAATTTTCATTTGTTGCAATAAAAATCTGACGACAGAAAAATTCGATTAGAAAATAATTCTTTCTTTACAGAACATTTTTTTAAATAAATATTCTATCTATAATGAAAATTCTATCAAATGGTAATTCCGTCACATACAAATTCTATGAAATAAAAAATCTGTAAAAAATTAATTCTAGCTAAATTGAAATAGTTGAATAGAAATTCTATTAAATTAGTATTTAGTTTATTACAAATTCTTTGATATGAAATAATTTTAATAATCAAACAATTGTAATGAAAATAATTTTAATTTTCATTACCTTCAACCGGGGTAATTTTTTTGCCTTACTTTCATTGTAACTCTTTAAACAAACGTCAACAACATAGCACAATAGATTAAAATTTTTTTTTAATTCTGAATTTTAATGAAAAGTTGAGTAAAAAATAGAATTTTTTGTGGATACAATTACCCCGGTTGACTGTGTGGTAAATTATAAAGAAAAAAAGGAAGAATAACATTACCGTGAAGGGAGATTTATCTGGAAGATTCAAGAAAATTGTCAAATAACAAAATGCGTGTACTATGGATCCAATAACCAAAATCAACCAACGTGAACGAATTTTAATTGTCGAAGCTAATGGTCCACAAATAATTCCCGCTGTCACTTCTCCAATTCCTAAACATATTCCCACAAGACTAACATATTTTTTTCTCAATTCACCCATTTTCACTGTAAATCCAAAACTCGCGGTATAAACTCCTGAATAAAAAGCAAGTACAAGTCCACTATACATAAAAGTCACTATCAACATAATCATCTGTGGCGTTACAATAAGACTCAAAAATCGTCTCATTCTCTCCCAACCAACAATTAATGTCACATATTTACATCTTTTTGGTTCATTAATTTTTTCTTTTATTACATTTTCCATTTTCTTTTCACAAATTTCATTTTCAATCAATGATCTTGTCAATGGTTTTCTTAATGTTGCCAATATTAATGTACCAATAATTGCAAGAATTGTGAGTATGATGAACATTAATTTTCTTGTTGATTTGTCATATGTTTTTGTTGTGAATATACAATAAACCGAGAGATTACCAGTGACTAGTGAAAGTTGATAAATTGCCCAAAAAATACCGGAATTACGGGCAATTGTCTCTGAATTACTGTTCTCTGTTATATAACGGCCATGGCCAACCCACATTAAGGACGAGCCGAGTCCTTGTATGGCGGAGGCAAAATAAAGTAAAAATGTATGTGGCCAAAGAAATGTGGCGACAAAAAATGCATAACACAATGATCCAGTGAATATTGATAAGCGTGGACTTATTTCCTGAGCGTAGGACGGTGTAAAAAATGTGCATATGCTGAGAACTGCATAAACAATGGCCAAACTACTGTAGCCATCTCCTGTGAAACTTGGATCCTCATTTGATACGCTGTCAAGAACTGTTTTCTAAAAAAAAAAAAATAAGAAAACTATTATTATTACAACTAAAAAAATTGCCACACAAAAAAATTAAAAAAAAATTCTGATCTGAGTGTCTGACTATGTTTACTATACATTTTTAGGGTCGCTGAATCCGAATCTGAGGCCGATTTAACCCCATCAATTCAGGATTCTAACATAAACTCAAAAACACATTTTTTGAGTTTCTGTCAGTATTAATTTATAAAATAACATTCTAAAGTCAGATTCGTAATCCACAACCTCAAAAACCCTCGATTAAAAAATTTCAGGCGAATTCGGTAATTTTTTGATACCTTTAAACAGGGACACTTTTTGCAAAATCAGACAAAAATACTAAGGATTCTTATCTTATAAATTTCCTAAATCCGAAAAATTGTGCGAATCCATACAAAAACGCGATTGCAAAACAAAAAGTAGGTAATATAATAACTGCTGCGATTTTTCATTCCCTGCATGCTTCTGCCATCTGACGGCGACAGGACATAATGAACCTGTCATTATATTACTTTCCTACTTTTCGTTTTGCAATCGCGTTTTTGTATGGATTCGCACAATTTTTCTGATTTAGAAAATTTATAAGATAGATTCTTTGGTGTTTTGGCCGATTTTGTAAATAAACAAACAATTTTGTAAACAAAAATTTATAATTATTAATGTTTGAAGCTAATTTATTCTTTTGTATCGAATTAGTTGTATCAAAAAACTTACAAAATTACTAAAAATATGTCAAAGTAATATATTAAAATATAAAAAATATTTAAAAGCAACACATTCAATTAATTTGAGCTTGAAAAAATGCTCGGGTCTACTGGACCCATGGTGCCAGTTATGGGTTAAAATTTGTTAAAATATATTATACATCAAAAACTGTTTTCTAAAAAAAAGAAAAAGAAAACTATTATTATTACAACTACAAAAATGTCCACACAAAGAAATTTAAAAAAAGTTCTGATCTGAGTGTCTGACTATGTTTACTGTACATGTTTAGGGTCGCTGAATCCGAATCTGAGGCCTATTTAACCCTATCAATTCAGGATTCTAATATAACCTCAAAAACACATTTTTTGAGTTTCTGTCAGTATTAATTTATAAAATAACATTCTAAAGTCAGATTCGTAATCCGCAACCTCAAAAACCCTCGATTAAAAATTTTCAGGCGAATTCGGTAATTTTTTGATACCTTTAAACAGGGACACTTTTTATAAAATCGACCAAAAATACTAAGGATTCTTATCTTATAAATTTCCTAAATCCGAAAAATTGTGCGAATCCATATAAAAACGCGATTGCAAAACAAAAAGTAGGTAATATAATAACGGCTGCGATTTTACACTCCCAGCATGCTTCTGCCATCTGACGGCGACAGGACGTAATGAACCTGTCATTATATTACTTTCCTACTTTTCGTTTTGCAATCGCGTTTTTGTATGGATTCGCACAATTTTTCTGATTTAGAAAATTTATAAGATAAGATTCCTTGGTGTTTGTTTCACTGAAAAAAAAATATCAGATTTGTAATAAATAAAATTTTAAACCTTAAAAATAATTGAGAATCAATAAAAATTTATCACCGATAGGAGGAGACTAAAATAATTTTAATAAACGCATAACGTATGCACGAGTTAATAATATATATATACAATTTCTCGGTACATTACAAAGTTTGTTGAATAAATTGGAAAATTGGTTTAGAGCCAACAATTTGTGATTAAATAAATTTATCAGTAAGAATAAAATAAATCGTTCCACCGCCTGGGAGCAAATATATTTATATATATATTATAATTTAACTATTTCATTTTTGACATTTACATATATTCCTTTGAACTTCCTTTGACATTAATTATTATTATTCTAACGTACAAGAAATATTTCATAGTTAAGAATATTGTCTTGTCTTTTTAAACGAGAATAAATATGAGAATAATGTAAAAAAAAAAGTTCTCTTCTTTTTTTTGCAAAGCATTTTCATTGGTAATATTTAACAAACAATAGGCATTATCAAGGAGTATTTTCTACGCACGAATAAAAGTCTGTGTCTGTGTCACTGCCAGTAATAGATTTTCATTGACCGTTATTAAGTATGAGAATATTTTTCAATGAAAAAAAATGTTACAATTTATCTTTCCGAGTGATGATAATTTATTAGAAGCTGTAAACGCCATATGTAACGTCTGCAATGAAATGATAAGAATTGCTATTTTTATCATTTTCGTCAATGAAATATATATAGGATACGACTTCTGAATAAATTTATATCGTTGTTGATTTTTCCATTGAAATAAAAAAAATAAAGTTCCGCGAAAATTTTATTTCTAAATAATATTTGAAGAATTATTTTTCAATAGAAATTTTTATTTTGAAAACTTATATTTTGGGAAAATATTGTTTGGAAATTCAATTCTATTGATTTTGTTTTTTTTTTAATTTTAGTGAAAATTTACAAAAATTATATAAAATAATAAATAAATAATAATTATATATAATTTAATAACAATAATAATTAATAATAATAATAATAATAATTTAATATAATATAATTTTAATTACATATATAAAATATTATAACACATATATATGACAATGTAATCATGTACTTTGTAAACACAAAAATAAGCTACAATATTTTTAAGTGTAAAATTCATGATTTTATTGTCACCTGTCAAAATGTTGCACAATTTTGCAGCTTTCCTTCTCAAAAATTAAGAGTAAAATCAATAGAATTCAATTTTGAGAAATTTAAATTTAGATATAGAAATTTTTTTTATGCAAATTATTATAATTTTTTGATTTAAATAATTTTTGCAACGCTCTTCGATTAACAATTAAAAAAAAAAATTGTAGACAAAAATTTTTATTATTTTTTGTGCGAAAGATTAATTTCATTTTCATTCATCATAAATGAGAAAGTTTTCATTTTTGTCGGATTTTGACCTTTTTCTAATTCCAGTGAATCTCCACGTTTTGATACCTCCCAGATAGCACGTGAGCTTGCAGCAACCTTGAGGCAAGATTCAAATGTCCCATCTGACTCAAGCTTGCATGGTAAGCTTACCGAAAGATTGCAGTGTAAGGTTAGTGTAAGATTGAACAATAAGATTATCGCAAAATTGCTTAGTAAGCTTTCACGGTAAGCTTGTAGCAAGGTTGATGCAAGGTTGACCAATAACCAACCTTACTACAAGCCTACCGTGCAAGGTTACTGAGCAATCTTGCGATAATCTTATTGTGCAATCTTGTAGTAACCTTACACTGCAATCTTTCGATAAGCTTACCATGCATGCTTGGGTCAGGTGGGATATTTGAAGCTTGCGGTAAGTTTGCCATGCAAGGTTGGCAATTATGCGCTGCAATATAGCTAGCCTAGCTTGCCGCAAGGTTGCTGCAAGTTTACGTGCTATCTGGGCTCCTGATGCCAAAAAAAATAGGTTTTGAAAACCTGTCTGCCTGTAGACCCTTTTTTATCCACACGATAACTTGAACAAATATTTATTGAAAAAATGTAAAAAGCAATTGAGAAAGAAATTTAAGAAAAAATACACTTTAAAAAACATAATATAATTAAGAAAAAAAAATTAATTTCTAAGAAAAATTTGAAAAAAAACAATTTAAAATAAAGGAGTATAATTTATATAAAATAGGAATCAATAGAAGAAAAAATACTTTGAAAAGGGGGAAAAAAATACTTTCATAAAAACAAGCATAATAAGAGAAAAACAACTTAGAAAACAAGAATCGCAACTTATTATTATTCCTCAGGAAAAGAATAGAATAGATAGAGATCTTAATGTAGAAGACTACGAAATCTATTTTCCCATTTTATGCGAAAAAAAATATACTAATTCAGTTCAATTAAATTCAAGATTAACCTTATTAGAGTAATATATTATGAAATTTCTTCTAATAACACGCACTTTATCAACTTCATTTGCAAAGATGTTCATTAACGAATATTAAAAGTGTCAAATTAAAATAACAATATGTTTTCCAAGTATAAAAGAGAGAAAAAAATTTTTCTTTTTTTTGAAATTTCTAAATTTAACAAAGCTGAAGTACGCAAGGTTTATGATAAACGATTTTTAAAGAAATAATTTTTTGCTCAAAAAATTTTTCTTATAGTTTTTATTAATCAATAATTTATAAAAAAATATTTTTTAGGCAAAAAATTATAGAATTTTTCATTTAAAAAATTTTTTTTTTTTAAAATCGTTTATCATAAACGTTGCGTACTTCAGCTATGTTAAATTTATCCAAACAAAAATTATCAATAACAATATGTTTTCATAAAAGAAGAAAATTTATTTTCTTTAATTTTTTTAATTTATCCACACGGAAAAAAAATAAATACCTATCAAATTTTCTAAAAGTATTTTCAAATTTTGTAAATGGATTTTCAAGTCGTGGAAAAATTGGCAAAAAATAAAATTTCCATAAATAGAAAAAAATTTTAAAAATTAAAAAAAAATTAATCAACTTTAATGAAATTTACAACAGTTATATTAATCCTTAAAAAAACTGGCACAATTCCGCGTTAGAACGTAAATGACACAACGGGTCTGCTGGACCCGACGTATTCAAACGTGTACTGTACAGCCGGTATTGAATAATTTTGCACAAAAATTTAATCTGAGGTAGTTTATGATGTGTTTTTTAAAATTTCATTATTTACAGGGATTAATTTATTTTAAGTTAGATAAAAAAATTGTGAAAAATAAAAACGAAAAAATTGCCTGTTTTTTCATAAAAATTCATGAGTTATTTAAATTTTAATAATATGACTTAAAAATTTAAGGTTATGATGTATTATTCTTTAAGGAAAAAATTACCACAACAGCAGGACTTGCAAAAAGAGGTATTTATTTTCTAAAATAAAATGTGACTTTTTAGGTTAAAATTAAAAATTTATAATTATTAATGTTTGAAGCTAATTTATTTTTTTGTATCGAATTAGTTGTAGCAAAAAACTTGAAAAATTACTAAGAATATATGTCAAACTAATATATTAAAATATAAAAAATATTCAAAAGCAACACATTTAATTAATTTGAGCTTGAAAAAATGCTCGGGTCTACTGGACCCATGGTGTTAGTTATGGGTTAAAATTTGTTAAAACATATTATACATCAAAAACTGTTTTCTAAAAAAAAAATAAGAAAACTATTATTATTACAACTACAAAAATGGCCACACAAAGAAATTTAAAAAAAGTTCTGATCTGAGTGTCTGACTGTTTACTATACATTTTTAGGGTCGCTGAATCCGAATCTGAGGCCGATTTAACCCCATCAATTCAGGATTCTAACATAACCTCAAAAACACATTTTTTGAGTTTCTGTTAGTATTAATTTATAAAATAACATTCTAAAGTCAGATTCGTAATTCGCAACCTCAAAAACCCTCGATTAAAAATTTTCAGGCGAATTCGGTAATTTTTTGGTACCTTTAAACATAGACACTTTTTATAAAATCGGCCAAAAATACTAAGGATTCTTATATCATAAATTTCCTAAATCCGAAAAATTGTGCGAATCCATATAAAAACGCGATTGCAAAACAAAAAGTAGGTAATATAATAACGGCTGCGATTTTACATTCCCTGCATGCTTCTGCCATCTGACGGCGACAGGACGTAATGAACCTGTCATTATATTACTTTCCTACTTTTCGTTTTGCATTCGCGTTTTTGTATGGATTCGCACAATTTTTCTAATTTAGAAAATTTATAAGATAAGATTCTTTGGTGTTTTGGCCGATTTTGAAAACAAACAAACAATTTTGTAAACAAAAATTTATAATTATTAATGTTTCAAGCTAATTTATTCTTTTGTTTCGAATTAGTTGTATCAAAAAACTTACATAATTACTAAGAATATATGTCAAACTAATATATTAAAATATAAAAAATATTCAAAAGTAACACATTTAATTAATTTGAGCTTGAAAAAATGCTCGGGTCTACTGGACCCATGGTGCCAGTTAAGGGTTAAAATTTATTAAAACCTATTTGATTCATTACTAAATGTTACTAAATTTTATTAAATCCCGTTTTAAGTTTATAAAAGTGTAATATTTATTGAAATAAAAATTATCAATAACAATATATGTTTCGCCTAATAAATGAAAAAAAAATTATTTTTGTTTGCAATTTGTAAATTTATCCAATTTATTCAGACAAAAATTATCAATAACAATATTATGTTTTTTGGTAAGAGAAAATTTTTTTTTAATTTTTAATTTCTAAATTTATCCAGACGAAAAGAAAATAAATATTAAATTTTCTAAAAGTATTTTCAAAAATTTTTTAAACCTATTTTCAATTCGGTGGAAAATAGGATAAAGAAAGCGAAATTTCCATATAAGAAATAAAAAAAAATTAATAAACTTTTATGAAATTTACAATAGTTAAACATTAGATTAAAATTTTCTAAAACCTATTTGATTCATTACCGAATGGTACTAAATTTAATTAAATCCTTGTATTAAGTTTATAAAAGTTTCTCTAAAGTTTAGAATTTCTGATATGAAAATTATGAATTTTTTTTTTTTTTGCATATTTTCCACGACTTGAAAATACTTTTATAAAATTTGAAATATAAAATTTGCTATTTATTTTTTCCCCTGCAATTTATTTAAATAAAAATTATCAATAATATGTTTTTGCAGTAAAAGAAAAATTTTTTTTTTTTTCTAAATTTATCAATAACAATATATTTTCCAATAAAAGAGAATAAAAATATTATTTTTTTTGTTCGTTTCTAAATTTATCCAATCAAAAATAATAATCAATAACAACAAGAAAAAAATATATAAATTTTTGTAAACTCGTGCGTACATATACAAACACGGAAGGCTCCCTCGTGATTTGAAATTGGAATTATAAAATAATTCACAGACACTTGATTTCTTGGCAAGAGTTTTAGCGCATCTTTTCTCTTTCTCATAACATAACGTATACTACAGAATCAAAAACATGAACTATAAATATACTCACCTGTATATTACTTGTTGTTAGAAACGCAGAAAATGTGAACATAAACCCCCAACTCAATATTAACACATTAAAAAATTCCCTGTCGAGAATCATTATTTTTATATAAATATATGTTGTTAATTGAAAAAAAGTTTCTCTTTGAAAAACACCATATGTCACCGTGTGTGTATGTTATTTTTTTTTTGTTTTTCACTTTTAATTTATTGTTGATATTTGTATAACAATAACGATTGGTTGACGACGAGAGGAGTGTGCGATATAAGAGACATTGCTGCAGCCACTGACGTATATTTTAAAGACGAATGAAATTTACATTTGACAGGTATGTTTAACTTCAAGTGTGTGAAAATTATTTTAAAGCGACGTGCGCCGTAGCATAGAATCGAGCGTGGAACTGTATAAAAACCACTTCGACAATCTTTGAGTTAACTTTGAATGGAATGTGTGATGTTATGAGTTTATCGTGAAGATTAATTATCACATTAAGAGGAGTATAAAACAATATATTCTTTTTTTTTTTTCTTTTTCTTTTCAGTTTGTATACTTGGCTATGAGCCCACTTGGTCGAGTCAGTTCTTATATATATATATATATACACCTATATTCATTTTCAATTTCAATAATAATTGCAATATAGTAATATCATTGAAGGCGATACATTGTTGCAATGAAAAAAAAGAATTATTTCATTCAAATAAATCCGTTACTTGAAAATTATTAAATAAATATTTCCTTGAGTCAAATAATTGTCAAATTATATTTTATTTGTTTCGAATATACAGAAATTATTGGTTTAAATACCAGTTTATTTGAGTAAAAAAAAATTATTTGATACAAAATATAAATATTTATTTGATATAAGCAAAAATTTATTTGATACAAAATATAATTATTTATTTGATATATATAAAAATTTATTTGATACAAATAAATATGTGACGCTCCATACGAGAAAAGCCACTACCTTAGGGGCAAAAAATTTTAGGTTATGTTTATGATTTTTGGATTAAAAATACACAAAGAGGATCAACTATTAGTAAAAAAAAACAACGAAACAACGATTAATCAAGTAAATACAATTAGTAAAAATAACCTAAAATTTTTTGCCTTTAAGCTCCCTTTATTCTTATGGATGAGCGTCACATATATATATTTATTTGATAATGGTCAAGTACCTAATATTATTTAAATCAAATAAAATTTTTTTCAGTGTACAGTTTATTTAACACATTTTTTTATAATAAACATAAATTTTAATAAACCCTCAACTGGCACAATTCCGCGTTCGAAAGTAAATGGCACAATGGGTCTGCTGGACCCGACGTATTCAAACGTATATTGTACAGCCGGTATTAAATATTTTTGCACAAAAATTTAATCTGAGGTAGCTTATGATGTGTTTTTTAAAATTTCATTAGTTTTACAGGTATTAATTTATTTTAAGTTAGATAAAAAAAATTGTGAAAAATAAAAACAAAAAAATTGCGTGTTTTTACATGAAAATTTATGAGTTATTTAAATTTTAATAATATGACTTAAAAATTTAAGGTTATGATATATTATTCTTTAAAGAAAAAATTACCACAATAGCAGGAATTGCAAGAATGGTATTTATTTTTCAGAATAAAATGTGACTTTTTAGGTTAAAATTAAAAATTTATAATTATTAATGTTTCAAACTATAATTTATTCTTTTGTATCGAATTAGTTGTATCAAAAAACTTACAAAATTACTAAAAATATGTCAAACTAATATATTAAAATATGAAAAAAAAATTCAAAAAGCAACACATTCAATTAATTTGAGCTTGAAAAAATGCTCGGGTCTACTGGACCCATGGTGCCAGTTAGGGGTTAAAGGTGCATTTTATTATTATTTATATTGATATTTTTTCTATTTTTTTATTTTATTTTTATTATTATATCTTTTTTTTTCTTTTTTTTATTAGTTAAATGTATCTGTATAATTAACCTCTTGACAGTCGATGGCCAATATATGTCCAAAAAAAGTCGTCCCAACTTTGTGATTTTGGACATATATGTCCACATTAGAAAAAAAATACTAAACATAATTCGATTTGAGTGTCAATGGATATACTAAGGTTTTCGGGGTTGCTGAATCCGAATTTGAGGTCAGATTTAAAATATTCAAAATGGCGGACCTAATATGGCGATCCAATATGGTAGAAAATTTTAAAATTGATTCGATTCGTTCTAAATTCGGTACTCAGAGGTTTTCGTGGTCACTAAATCCAAATTTAAGGTCAGATTTAAAAAATTCAAAATGGCGGACACAATATGGCGGAAAATTTTTTAATTGATTCGATTTGTTCAAAATTTGGTACTTTTGGGGGTTTTTGGAGTCGCTGAATCCAAATTTGACCTTAAATTTGGATTCAGCGACCCAAAAAACCCCCAAAAATACCAAATTTTGAACGAATCGAATCAATTAAAAAATTTTCCGCCATTTTGAATTTTTTAAATTTGACCTTAAATTTGGATTCAGCGACCCCAAAAACTTTTAATACGATGATATGATATTTTTTTGGAAACTTTTTTTTGGACCGTTTTGGACCCACAAACGATTTTTCTACTAAACTGCGAAGAGGTTAAATAAAATAAATATTACTTTTATTATTAGTTTAATATTTTTCATTAAATTAATTTTATTTTATACTTATTTATTCTAGGCGGTTATATAAAATTATCAATACTTTTTGACTAATCATTCTCAGTAATATTAGATGATTATACAATTGATGATTTTCTGTCGTACCTCACTTTGATAACCCGCAAGTGCCAATGAACTCAAGCAAACAGTTTATTACGATATTTTTCAAATCTTTGAAATAAAATGATTAGTTGATTTTTGCAATAAGGAGAAAAAATTTCAAAAAAAAAAAAAAAATGATAATAATACGGTTTGTATACATTACAAAAATTAATTACAACAATAATAATAATAGTAATAATAAAAAAATAACAATAAAAAAATTATTAGTAATAAATAATATTATGAATAAATTATAGCAAAAAAAATTAGTATCCAGAAAAATTTTTTATTAAAGTTATAAAAAATTAAAATTTTCAATTTTATAAATTAATAATGCAAAAAAATAAATTTTTTTATTATATTATTTAAAAATAATTTAAAGTTTGTTTTATATTTCGTATAAATTTCTGAGTATCTATAAAATCGTTGAGAAGAAACATGACACTCAATTGAAAAAAAAGTTAATTGATAAATTATTTTTTAATTATGTAATAATTGAATAATTAATAATAATTATATCTTTATTGAAAACAATGCGCGATTAGAATTCAAATTTATACGTCTCATTACACGTAATTATTATTTAAAATAAATAATAATAAAAATTTGTATATAATTTATCTAATTATTATTTAAATTAATAATTATTATTAAATAATTTTTTTCTAATTAAGTGTCATTATTTGCAACGGTTTTATACTTAGAAATGTATGAGGAATATAAAACAATTTTTCAATTTTACACACAGAAAAAATTTCGTCTCATTTTTGTTGCAATACTCAAAATGAGTCAATGCTAAACGACATAGAAAGTGGCGCCATCAACATGGCTCATTTTTGTTGCACTTCAAAATGAGCCGCCTACACGACTCATTTTGAGTTCAGTTTTTATCTGTGCTTAATAATAAATGAATAATTAGTAATAATAGGGGAATAGTGTCAGGGTTGGACACAGTTTTGGTTTTTTGTTTATAAATATTTTGTTTAGATAAATTCAGTCAATTGTGGTATATGGGTGGAAAGATCTACAAAAGAGGAACACTTTTGCTGTGGACCGTAAATTGATTGATCCAAAATTAAAACAGTTATAAACATTAAAAAAAAAATCTAGTCAGGGTTAGACTTTTCAGTCAGGGTTGGACACTTTTTGAAAATCGAAACGCATTATTGGTAAAAACGTAAAATAACATTTACAATTTTTTTTATTCTTATTTTTTCATGTTTATCTTTACTTATTGTTTACAAATTGTAAAGCTTCATGGGTTTAAAAAAGGAATGAACTCAAATTACAAAAAATAACGCTTTATTGTTCCAAATAACTCAATGAAATGATGAACAAAATTTATACAATTTAAGTATTATTTTTCTAATATCTTTGGCACAATTTTGCACTGAAATATCAATAAAATAAAATTTATTTATAAATTGTGTCAAATTCATAATTAATATGGGTGTCCAACCCTAACTGTATAAAGTGTCCAACCCTAACTAGAAGCATCATTTTCGAATTGTGCTAACCATAACCAGACATGTGTCGCGATTCGATTTTTCACTTTTTTTCTTCTTAAATTATGTACCCCACAATACATTCAATAAGTTTACCATGCCGAATTCTTGCTTTTTTTTACACATTTTTTAGGTTTATTCACAAGTCAAACAAAACTTTTTTTGTCTCTTCGATTGCACCGAAGTCACAGGAGACGCTACTTTTGATTCTCCAAAAATGTAATGCCACAAAAAGTTAGGTTACATTACTAAAAGATTCGTCACGTACGCACACAGGTGGCGCTAGTGTTCTTATTAAAAAAAGCCAAGTGTCCAACCCTGACACTATTCCCCTATTATAAATAATAATGAATAAATAATTAATAATAATATTAAAAATAATGATAAATAAATAATAATAAATAATATTAAATATAATAATAAACAAATAATTATTTAACGTAAGAAATAAATTTTTTAGCTTCTTGAAAAAAATAAATAAAAAAATTTAAATTGCATCTTCATATTTTCTCCTGAATTCTTGAATTATCATAATGAAAAATTTCATTTTTATATACAAATGAAAAGAATTGTTTGGCATTTTGTTTATTAAATGTTTTTTTCCATTAATTGTAATAAATGCATAGTTACATAAGAATTGTAACATATAACAAGCATTCCTTACAAATTAAACGTGACTTATCAGTTGGACATAAAATAGTTGACTTATTACCGTTATTAATTGTTTGACTTTTCAATTAACAATTTCATTTTTCAAACACTTTTATAACATAATATATAAGAATTGAGATGTGAAAATTGACAACTCATTCTTTATGACAATTTTTTGCGATAATAATTATAATAGAAAATTAATGACTACTAT